TGGCCTTGGGTGAATCAAGATTAGTAGGACTGGAAACCTGTGTGCTCAAGTGGCTTCCTGAAATTATGATTTATTGGCACAGTCAAGTATTGCTACAGCGCATAGAAACTGCCCAAGTTGTACTTAGGCCTGATGGTGGTTAAAATAGGTGTATGAGCGTAAATCAGTTCATTAGGGCGCTGCTGAAGTTTGGGAGCTTAGGCAGACACATCCAGGTTAGGTTATCAAGAGTATTTTAAGGGGACATGCTGCAAGCAGAAAGCCAACTTGGCTGCAGTGGCTCAGGGTCACTTTTGAGCTAGTGGAGGGTTATCAGATCATTAATGAGTTGTGCCAGTGCATAAATAAGGGCCCTGCGTGAGTATGGCTGAAGTGGGGATTTCTGGTTCTTTGAATGCAACTCTTTGAGATGACTTAGTCTTCGTCAGATTTTTTTTAAATCTGTTCCTTTAGCTGCAGTTTGCACTCTATCCCTTGTTGAAACACCTGCAGAATGTAAGCTACCTTCCTGCTTTTCTTATAGGTTGTTAGTAGTTTTCTTAAGGTTTTTCTTTTGTATGAGGTAAACTTGAGTGCAGATAGAGGAGGAAAAGCTGTGCTACTCTTCTAGTTTGTGCTTACAAGAAAGCTCAGCTTTATGGAGTTACGTGTTTGGGATGTTGGCTTTCCATATGGTGCAAACTTCTGTAATGCCCTCTGAGCGTTGCCACACGGCAGTGGTTTGATTTACTCACCATCTGGGGAGTGGGGAAGATCCTCAAGGTATCTAGAGGGTCTGTTAGGTTCTTGGGTAAGGTGGGGCAAAAACAAGCTCATGGCATCTTTAAGGTACTGCATTCTTTGCATAAATTGGAAGTCATTACCAGGATGCAAGCTACAAACCTGGTAATTTGCATGCTGTTCTTTTGCCTGCATCTCTATCTCCGGAGTTTAAGGAGAGAGAAAATGGGAGGAGGGGAGTGTGAGCAGACAAATGTACATGTTTTTGAATGGGTAGCATGCTGGAGATGTCACATCTTTAATGTGAAATTGTTCCCATACTTGCAGTGAGTTGTATGGGTTCGGATGATCTTTCCTGTTTTGTCTGTGGGAATTAAATTATTATAAATGAGTTTTCAGTGCTATTTAATTATTGTTAGGTTTTGTTAATATCTTGTTTTATATTTTCTAGCTGAAAGTCATTGCTATTGATGAACAGCTGAGAGTCATTTATGAGGATAATGTTCATTTTGATAAAGACCTTCCGGAATTTAAGTAAGTTATTTTGTATTTTACTTATATAATATTATTTAGAACTTTGGAGATGGGGCTGGGTGGGGTGGGGCTGTTGCTGTAATTGGTGCTATTGACATATCAATAAGACTTTTTCCATGTGTGTGGAAAAAGTTTATGCCATGTTCATGTTTCATGCTTGCCAAGGGTAGTATATGCTCTTGCCTTCCTTGGTATGTAAATATGGCAAGAACTTCCTTCAGGAAATACATTTTAAAAATCTACCCCAAAGTATAATGCATAAATAAACCTTATTTTTTTCTTTTGGGATTTCAGACTTTTGGACATGACTGTTGCTTTTTGGGGCACAGAAATAAGCACTGCCTTTGTCTCAGGGTGGAATGCTGTGATAACAGCAAGTAAATTCCATCAGGGGAACTTATAAAAGGCATTTAGAGACAAACTCAGTTGTTCCAAGTCTCACAGTAAGATGTAGGAGGACAGTATTTGCTTACTTCAGTTACAGACAAGAATTTACAAATGTCACCCTCTGTAGTTAGAAGTTTCAATGAAACACATTTATTTACCTGATATTTAACAGCAAAAATTGAATTTAATCTTCTAGGTTCAAGGCACAGTTGGTGACAGTTAGGAAAGTTAAAAATAACTGAATTACATGGAGCCAACGAGCTGTAATAGCATTGGAGTCTGTCACAGATCTTACTAAAGGATTGGAGCCTTTCCTTGCAAATCATTTGCTTTGCAATTGTGTCAAACATCTTTTGTGTCACATCCTAGGAGCTGGCTTTTACTTTTTCAGGTTTCAAACACTGATCATTACCTTACTTTTAACATAAAAGCATCACAAACTCTGTTTGGTTATTAATAAAGTTGAAGAACTTTGCTTGACAGGGAAAAAAAATTGCTGAATTTACTAAGAGAAAATACCATTTTTCTGTAGGACTCAAGGTGGAGTCTATATTCACAGTGACAGGCTGACAGTCACTTCCCCTGTGCTAATGTGGGTCAAGGTATGACAAGCTTTATAGAGTTCAACTTCTTCCTTGCTGTTACTGACATGGAAATGTGGCCTAAGCAATGGGGAAACTCATCCTTCAAATAAACATAGTCCTTTTGCTTGATTCTGTTTCCTTGAAATGTTACTCTGTGTCTTGGAATGCAAATATTGATGTTACCCGCAAACATAGTGCAGACTGATAACATTTTGAGTCTTTGTTTCTTCACTCTTTACTATTGGATGTGTGAAATTCTTGACTTTCCTTTATTTGAAAATAAACCCTATTCTTTTTTTTCCCTCATCATTTTGTTTCATACACAAAAGGGGCAGGTGCCACTTTGCCTGCCTTAAATCTGTGGTTTTGTAGCATCCAGCATCCAGGTTACTTATGCCTTTTTTTTTTTTTTTTTAGAATAAGCTTTGCTAACCATTTGATGTCTCAACTGCAGAGTGGTTAAAGAGCAATATATTCAGTGATTCCTGGTCACTTTGACTGATGTTTATTTTAATATACAACATTCTTTTCTGTTTTAAAAGAAGGCCTCCCTTGCTTCTGTGCAGATTCTACAACACTTGCTCTCACATGGTACTATATACATTTGTCTTACTAGTGTGATTTGAATAGTTTGGATATTTGAAAGGTCACAGAACCCCCAGCTGGTGATCCACAGCAGTTGACAAAGGATTGGTAAATACCCTTACAGTTGGTTTTTTGAAACGTGATGAAAAGTAACAGTTGTGATTATTAAATTAAGGATATGATGATACAGGTATATCATGTTCTCAGGGAAATGTTGATGTTGTGCAGTGGTCTAAATGCCAGGATATTCTGGGAAGTGCTGATCGGAATGGAACTACGTAAAGATGGATTAATTTTTGGCTTTAAACTTCAGGAAGATGTGGCAAAACCAAAATTCACCTAGGTGATGATTGAAGTGCTATAATTTACTTGAATTTGCCTTATATTAAAGAGTGTCTGAGTTTTCAACTGACACTGGAGCCAGTGGTATTGAGGATACCTAACATCTTTAGGATGGGGTGCACAGTGCATCCCATTAAGATTTCATAGATTTCCAAAAGTAAGAACAGAAAAAGATCATCTTGCTTTGTGTCTGGCACTCTTGAGAGTGGCTTTTTAATGAACTGGAATTCATTAATTCTTGCCTATTATTTAGATTTCAAAGAATGAATCTTTGTGATTCAACTTGCATAAAGATTTTTTTTTTTCACTGTGTGATTCAACTTCTCTTTTATGGACTCTTACTTAGTAAATTAATTTATGCAACTTCTTGAGAAGTCCATGGTCATTAGCTAATTTTTCATTATCTAACAATGAAGTCTTATCGGTGATGACATGAATTTACTGCTTAATTCCAGAGATGGTGAGCATGCATAATTTGATAGCTCGTTACAGTCATTCTTGATTCTGTTTGTTCTTGTAGGCCCTGGATATGATTTTGGAAAAGATGAAGTCTTCAGGCTTTAACTTCTCTCAAGTCAGAGCTTTGTCTGGTGCTGGCCAGGTTAGTTTATAAAGAGAAAAATAAGTCTTACTAAATTTCTTCAGTAGAGTATAAGGTATTGTGGCAGATCTAACTGAAATTTAAATAACTGTATTGCAGATGACAATAGTGACAGCAAGTGAGATCAAAATTTCTATATAAGCATCCATTGAAAAGCACATTCCTTTTAATTTCACCATATTCAGGTGCTTGTGCCTATGTGGTATAAAAAATGCTGAGGAGCAGGGTTTACTAAAGGTGTGGTAATGTCCTGTTGAGCCCAGTGTTTGTTGGCTAGGATAGAGATCTGCCTTGGAACACCAAAAACCAAATGATGATGGTCTTTGATGAAGAAATTACAAAGATGCTGCTGTGATTTAGCCTGTAGTGCCTAATGCCTTATTCCTGAGATTTATAAAACCCATCCTGACATTTAGTCAGTTGGCTGGTCTCCTAGTACTCTGGTAAAACAAGGAAGGCTTTTTTAACTTTCACAGATGACACTCAGGATGAGGACAGCAACAAAGTGATAGCTAATCTCTGACACACGAGGGATAGGTTATTTATCTTGATATATCTGGGGCTAATTAATAAAAACTCTTGCTCCATGTTTCATTGGTTTCAGTTGCAAGTCAGAGTGAAGTGGCTTTTGAAAATCATAGATGGTATCAAGGCTCTGTTAGGAATTCTGCAGTGGAACAGCATTTAGGGACTGCCAAGTAACCCCAGTGAAAAAAGGGAGTGCCTTTCCAGATTGCCCATATTCCCTTTATTTTACCCATCCTTTAACAGCTTGGAGGTATCAACTTGGTGCTATATTCAGGTTCTTTCAGGTAGAGTAGATTTCATGTAGTTGCCTCCTTCCAGCCTACGTTGTCTCTCTCCTTTTTCTCTTTGAAGAACTTGGTCTTTATGCTGCAGATCACTGAAGAGCTGCACTCATGCCAGTGTTAGTCCCAAAGAAGTGACAAACTTGGTCTTGATTGTCTGCAGAAATGGCAGAGGTGTGTGAAATACAGTTGGGATGACACTGTGGCCAAGTACTCTGTGCCCAGGGGGTTCTGCGTGCACTTGGTGTCAACAGAAGTGTTAGCAGATTGCTGGGTCATGCTTCACAGTTTGCCAAGAGTGTCCTGCAGGTGCAGAACTAGAGATGCCTGGCTTGAGGAAGCCACTTGAGAGATGGAGCTTAAATAACCACCTCAATATTGTGCAGTCTGTGAGTGGTGACTGGGACAGGCATGTAACTGAAGAATCTGGGGATGTGCTGAAGTAGCACAGAACTAAGGGTCTTGACTGTAGAGCCCTGGCTACAACTCAAAGAGCCCTCAAGGAAGTAGCCACTGCCATTAGCAGTGTAATAATAGTTCCCACTAGAAGTTGCTACAGTTCAAAATCATAGTTGTCTCTTGACTTCTACCTTTTCTGGTTTAGTATATGCTTTGCTCAATCTCAGAAGAGTCTTTTAATGAGGCACTGTATTTGAAAAGGTGCATTTTTGGGTCCTGGTTTGGAGCCTCTGTTGTTTACAGTTGGAAGTTCAGATCAGGATACGAATGTCATGGCTTGAGAGTGCATCTCCAGCTTCTGTTTCTGTACTTCCTACAGCAACATGGGAGCGTGTACTGGAAAGAAGGAAGTGCCCAGATTTTGAAGAATGCCTCATCCAAACTGCCTTTACATCAGTCACTAAAGGTAACGTGCATGAAAGAGCTACACTGTCACTGCTGTGATCCTTACACACTGCTCTTCTCCTGGCAAACCTTCCCTCTTGTGTGGCTGAGGTGCATGCCCTTGAGCATGACATGAAAGGTACTGGTAGCTCCTGGGCTTTTGGCATTTCCTTTTCTCCTGAGTGACAGTGCACTAAGAAGATTTTGGCCAGCAGGTCCAGGTTGGTTCTCCTCCCCCTCTGCTCTGCCCTAGTGAGGCCATGTCATGCATTAGGGGCAGGGCTGCCCCCAGACCTGTAACAGATGCTCTCTGTCAACTCCTCTCCCCTCCAAAAGGGAAAGGGAATAAGGGAGAGAGACTTTTTGATTGGAAAAGTGGAACAGCTTTCATGAGAACAATACTACTACTAAAATGGAATATATTAAAAAAAACCCCAAACAAATACAAACAAACAACCAAAACCAAACCAAACCAAAAATAACCATAATTGAGCCCAGCTCCCCCCTGATGGCAATATGTCACTGTCACCCCCAGCTGAAGAGCAGGACCTGGGGAAATGTCTCAGGCTGGACTCAGCCACAGAGGGCAACTGGGTACAGGAGCTGGATTCTGGACTTGGTTCAGGAACACATGGCTTGGGATCAGAGGCAGGATGGGTGAAGTCCTCCTTGGATGCTCTCTGTAGAAGGATCAACAAGAGGGAGGAAGGAAATCAGAAGGGCTTGACCCTTGTGATCCCTCAGCGTTATACTGAACATGAGGGATATGAGATATAATACCCCATTGGTGAATTTAGGGTCACTTGTCTTGTCTGCTCCTCCCTGCAGGTGCAGCCTTTACTTTCTGTCCCCTCTGTGTGGTACACAGGATTTAGCAGTGACTTTGGTCTGCACACCAATCCATTATCTAGTGTTATCACTGCTAGAAGCAGACACTGTCTGCAAAAATATGCTGTTAAATGCAGTTAGAAGAGCTTTAGCTGAAAAGCAAAATCACTGAGCAGAATTAATTCTGTTCTGTCCCAAACCAGGACAGGCCACATCTGGGGTACTGTGTCCAATTTTGGGCTTCCCAGTAGAAAAGAGACAGGGAACTACTGGAGAGAGTCCAGTGGAGGGCTGCAAAGATGATGAGGGGACTGGAGCAGCTCTGTGACAAGGACTGGCTGAAGGATCTGGGTCTGTTAACCCAGAGAAGAGAAGACTGAATGGGAATCTTTTCAATGCTCATCCATATCTAAAGGGCAGATGTCAAGAGGGTGGAGCCAGACTCTTTCAACTTGTGCCCAGTGACAGGACAAGGGGCAGTGGACACAAACTAGAACACAGGAAGTTCTATCTGAACATAAGGAAAAAATTCTTTCCTGTGAGGGTGCCAGACATTACTGAACCTCAACATTTTGTTCCGTGTGGTTGGTAGGTTTTGAACACAGACTTGGTAAACTTCTATTTAAAAATAAAGGTAGAAAGGAATCAGCTTTCCTCTTGAAGAGCCTTACCTTCTTTACTTTAATATCAGAAAGGACAGTTGTATATTGAAAGGGAGACATTTATGTAACTGATCTGTTAAATGATTAATTTTGGAAATATCTGTTGAAGACTCATGGAAATGGAATTAAATACTCTCTGGTGATGTACTAATCCTCAGCTGCATTTCCAAATGGTTATGCCAGTCATTAAAGAGAAACCTGTTAGTAAAGCTGTGGAAAGATAATGTGATTGTTCAGAGATGTTCCAAAAAATGGGCTGAACTTGCATAAAAGGGCCTGGGGCTTTGGCTATCAAAGGAGCATACTGACACATCATGCTGCAAGGTATATGCAGTAGACAGTGTGCTGCAGGTTGTGTTTGGTAACAGCAGCAAAAAGCCTGTTGCTTCCCTCTGATGTGAAGTTTGGGTTAAACTTTTCACCACTGACCAATACACTGCCCAAGAGCCTCTTTCTCATAATTATGGAAAGGATACCAGAAAGTTGATGTGTAGGTCTGCTGTATTGCTATTACTCTAGCAGGGACTTAGAGCTTCTGGCTTGCTGCTAAAGGATCTGGTTTGTTGCAGGGCTGTTTTTCTGTCAGTGAGAGCCCCATCTGGATGGATTCTAGCACAGCTTCCCAGTGCAGTGCTCTGGAGAAGGCTGTGGGGGGAGCAGAGCACCTAACAAGTATCACTGGTTCTCGAGCCTATGAGGTAAGGAGCAGCGGGGAAGAAAGTCCTCAGCAGTCTTGTGATAGAAACAATTCTGCCATTGCAGTGGTACCACAGCAGATAATGGTCAACCATTAACCATGAAAGAGTTTTGGAAGAAACTCCAATGATACTCTGCTTTGTAGTAGTCAAACAAAGAAAGATGTGGAAATTTTTAAGTGAAATTGGGTGAACACTGGAAATTTTGCTGCAGGAAGCAGCTGGGGTGAGCTGTTGCCTTTGGTGTCAGGGCCTGGTTCTGCCCTGGTTGCTCCTGTGCAGCCATATTTCTATTGGGATGGCAGCCCAGTTCGTGTTATAGGTTTGCTTGGGGCTATGTGGATCCCCTCTTTGTGGGTCGCTACTCTAGGTTACTTCTGCAATTAAGAGACTGGCCCTTTAATGTTCCCTGAAGGCTAACAAGAAGCTGTTGACCTGAGAGAGGTGTTCCAGCAGTTTGGGATGGTCTCAAGAGAGAGTACTCTGTGACTTATCTCCTCTTCCTGACACTTCCCTCTCTTGACAACAAGTTGTGGAGTGGGATCAGGGCTGCCCTGCAGGCATCTCAGCACCTGGCTGCTCTTACGATTGGTTCAACAGAATAAGGCTCTAACCTCCCAGATTGCTGATTCTGTTTTTGAATCATAATGCAGGGTTTATGGCCGGTGTTGAAATCAGACTTTGTATACCACTAACAGTTTATTTTTAAATTGCTAAAGGTTAAGGTTTCAGTTATTTGATATAATTATTTTTCATCCCTGCATTGTTCTTAAAGTATCATGAGCCTGTGCTGGAGTTGCTTCTTTGTGCTTGGCTCCCAATTCCTGCTCCTGCTTTGCCTCACAGAGAGGTACATAGGGTGGGTAGCTTAAACCTTTTCAAGGATTTGAAGGCAGCATTTGAATTGTGCTGCTTGCTGTGCACAGAATAAGTGTGATTCATCCCACTGAACTGTCATTTCTGAAATGTAAATTATGGATAGTAATGCTTTTTCACATGCTCTTCTTTTTTTTTCAAAAGGTGAGCAAAATTCTCATAATGAGACCATGCGTTATAGCCTGTTCAGTGCAGACTGCCTGCTGTGCACTGACTTTCATCATGCATCAGGCAAATTAAATATCCAAAGTGCAATGTTCTGAACTCATTACACAGAGTTAATGATTATTGACTCCATTTAGGGTTTGTGTTTCTAAGCATTTGCATTTCTTTCTCAGCGTTTTACAGGAAACCAGATAGCAAAGATTTACAGCCAGAATCCTGAGGTCTACATGCAAACTGAGGTTGGCTCTACTTCAATACACTTATTGGAACAGAGAGTTGAAAGTCTTTGAAAATTAATTCTGTGGGAATGTTTCTACAGATGTTTTTACTGAAGACTATATTTGATTCTTGTGTTTGATTTTGAGATTAAAATTGAAAATTTGATTATTTTTTGTTATGTTAAATTATTGGTCGCTAGGCAGATAAAAATGTGGCATGAATTCTTTCTTAAATGTTATATTTAACACAGCAGGTTGCATTGTGGAAGAAGTTTGAAAAAAATAGACTTTGAGTGGTAATAAATTGTATTTACAGCAGTTTGAGCACAAGCAGGTAATTAAGCAGACAGTTGAAATTTTCATATTTAGAACTGGCCAGTTACATGCAGGAATGTGATTGCTCTGCCATACAAAGCTGGCATCCACATGGATGTGTCTAGGAAAAACCTGCAATTACTTCCAGCCTTTTTTCATACTTTTTTCACTTGATGAGGTACTTTCATTCCACTATTACAAATTAATTGCATTGTGTAGTTGGTTTCCTTCTGATTTTTAATTTTCAGGAATCAGCTCGCAATTCCATGACTCTTTCGGTTTGTTGAGTCTCAATCTACCTATGACTGAAATGTCATGGGTTGAAGCAAGGTGAAAACTCAATGCCAATGTGGTGTAAATAAGAGGACTCCGGTCCTGTGATTAGAATATGCCAAACATCCAGACCTGAGAAGTCATGCTGCTCCTGTTTCTGTATTACAGCCAATCTTGATAGCATTGATCACATTTTTTTTGTGGTTTTTAAGAGCTCATCCCTGCATGAAACAATTTGATGGGGGAGTGAGTTGCAAAGTTGACTCTGTGTTTTGTGGGAGTATGGTTCATTTTTAGAATTTCTTTTTTTCCTTAGGACATTTTCCTTGTATAATGTTTACGCTAGTGAGGTGTGGCATGAAGCAGAACACTAATACAGCCTGAGCGTAAGATTATAACTAAATTTAGAGAAGGATATGTTAATGGGGGGGCAGTGGGTCTGTGGAACTGAGAACTAGGTAGACCAAATTCAGACATGGAGGGCTGGTTGCACTGATGGCACCTGTTAGCAGTAAAAGATATCCAAGATGTTGTGTTGAAGTACACATATCTCTATGCCAAAGTTGCTCTTGGGGCCCTTCAAGAAGCACTTAGCAGCTCAGCAGTCTCAATGTGGAAGCTGGATGCTTTTCCTTCTGTAGGTCAGCTGGCTAAACTGGTGGATTCACAGTTTAACTTCATCCTTTTCCTTCCATTTCAGGCAGGTAGTGCCCACTGGGGCACCACAGAAGGTAGGCCTTCATTGTTTAAGCACAGTGTGATACATTCTTGGGGAGAGATGTGTGAAGAGCAAGTGCATCATTAAGTTTCCTGGCCATTATAACCCCCTCAGAGAGCTCTGGCTATAGTCTGTCTTTGAATGCCATGGGATGCAGTGGTTCTGTGATCATTAATAGAAAACCTGTCACTGCTGGCACACATGACCAGTAGAGATTTGATTCTGATTAGTTACTGGGTGACAAAGGTATTTCTCCTGGATTAGTCAGAGCACACAATAAGGAATTTGCCAGCTTTTCTACCAGCTTCTTGGGAACAGATAAGATTTGATCATGCAGAAAGCTTCATGGTAGCCAAGCTACACACTTGGTAGTTTGTGTAGCAGATGTGAAGTGGAAGCAAGTCCGTGTTGGATCAGTGTGTTGTGTCAGGTGGGCAGGGCATTTGTGGGCCAGCATTAGGAGCCCTGCAGCTGGATTTAATGCATCCTTGGAACATACCCTGAGGCAGAGCTGCAGGGAGTGGTTCAGTTCAAAGCTGATTATTAGCATCTCCTGGGAGTAACTCCTGGGAGGTCTGGGGTTTCAGCTGGGAGCAATGAAAGAGTTCATGGAAAGGTGCTAGCAGAGCCTTGCCAGAGGTGCTAAAAATCTTGCAGACCTGTGCTCTGGCTGAAGCAGTGCATGGTTTCTGGGCATTTCCCCTGTCATCAACAGACAGGGTTTTTTTGTTTGTTTGTTTGTTTTTTTTCCTTAGTAAGTGTTTTTCCTTGAAATGAGATTCTGTGATACCCAGAAGCTGTAAATTAATTCATGATAACATAAGGTCTGCTAATGTACTAGGTGTGTTTTGCATGTTTCAGAATGCAAAGCTATTAACATCTTTTCTCACTGGGTTACTTTTAGATTGAGATCTGCTGTATTACTTAGGCAGTAAGATAGAACTCAGTAGCTCTAGGTGTATTTCTGTGTGCTTTCTGTGCCTAATATTAAGCATCTCTTACCATTTACTGCTTCCAATTAGTTAATTATTTAGTTTCTTTGAAGTGAATACTGATAGGACTCACTATTTCACACTTTTTCTTTCAGAGAATCTCTTTGGTGAGTAGTTTTGCAGCTTCCCTTTTCCTAGGAGCTTACGCACCCATTGATTACAGCGATGGTAAGTGCGTGGGCTTTTCTGGTAGTAACAATTCAACAGGAAGATTTTCCTCTCCACCCCCATCTTACATAAGAGGGGGACAAGGTCTCTGCTATTTATTTTCAGTCTTTAAACTTTAATGACAAGTATATTAGATTTTAAGCTAAGTTATTCCTTTCAATTTGTTGCTACTCTTGATAGTGCTGTCAGCCGTGCTTATTTATCCCCATCATGCTATGATTCCCATTTCTATGAAATGGTTCCACAGAAAATTTTCTTGAATGAAATGGCACCTTTTTTCATTACTTTATGATGTATAAAGGACTGTTGAAATATCTATTTAAATGCATGAAAAAGTTGTGGATTTTTAAACGAGATTTCATAATTCAGATATTTGTTCTTTGGTTTTGCTGGCTTAGCTCTGAGTTGCACAGGATGTGAACAAGACATATATTGTGATTATTTCCCCCCCACACCTAGATGGAGTATGTACCTACAACAGGAATTTCTTTTGAAAATGAACCAGAGAAAACAGCATAAACCAAGTGAAAAAAAAAAAAAAAAAGTTAAAAAACTTTTAACCTTCCATATCTCTCTATTCATCATAACAAAGAAAATGTGACAGGGATAGCATCTCTTCTTTTCTGTTGTGTGTTATCTCCATTATCCAGCTTTTAAATGGCAATTTAAAATGGCAATTACAAAGGAAACCATTTTCCTGGGGAGCTGTGCTGTTATTCCTAAATAGCGTTTTTGATTCCTGCTCTGAAACTAAGAGAAGATACATTTCAGAGTGAAAGGTTAGATATCAAGGCTCTCTAAGGAATTTTTGCATTATAGAGCCATAGTTGACACCCATGTGTTAAGACCAAGTCATTTTTTCTCCTTTGTTGTTCCATCAAAGCTGATAGGAAAAGGCAAGACACCTCAATTTTAGGTAATGGACAACTTATTCAATATCAGATCTCCCAGTTGTACTTGAGACCTTAAAAATTGCAAGGCAATCTGTGCTTATTTTGCAGCAGTTGTGAGATTATTACCTCTGTCTTCTGGTCCTGTTTTGCAAGCCATGCATTTTCACAGCTGAATTTTTTTTGTGTGTGTTATTGGCAACCCTAACTCTGTGGAGATTTGCAGTTTGGCCTTCAGTAGGCCCAAATACTGAGCACTTCAGCTGCAGAGCAAACCACAGAACTAGCTCCATATACTGGGTTTCAAAGAGAGATGGTAAGGTCTTCAAGGTACTTCTGATAAGGACATATGTTGTTTTTTTAAATTTTATTTTTCAGTGAGAATGAAGTGTTAATTTTCATTGAATAATGTACTTGAAATGTTTAAAATTATAAGCATTAGAAAAAAAAAAAATCTTAGTTTTGCCTTTTTTTTTTTTTTTCCTAATTCTACATCTGCCTTTTCTATTTGGAAGTAAGTGAGGGAGAGCCCTCTCCACCCTCCAGAAAGTGTCTGTGTCCAATTGAAAACCCAAACATTTTAAACTAAAGAAAATGAAAATTTGCTTCGTTGGAAGATTTTCTTAGAAAACTTATTGGATTTTTCAAAGAGCTGTAGGAGAGCCTGTTCTGTTACACCTCAGGATATTTACAGAACACGAATAAATGTTATCTGCTCTTCAGAGCGTGTAAGATTATTAAATCTTTGTGTGGAAAAAGATAAGAGAACTAAGCAGGATGTTGTAGTTCTCTTTACAAGACAAAAGTTTTTCTTTTTGGCGTTGTAAGCTATATTTTGTGTTCATTCCTTTCCTCTGTTAACATAATGAGAGAGAATTCTAATTCCAGTAATAAAATATAATTATAAAGTATGCAGTAGTTATTTGGATCCAGCTGAAAAACTTGTTTTATTGTCATTTACAATTTCTTGCAATTCACTTGATCTTTTATGTTGCACCTGTATTTTGTAGCTTAAAATGCATCTCTCAAAATAATGTTCAGATAATAGACCTATTCTTCATTTCTGTAGGTTTAACTTCAGGTCATATTGTCTTTAAAAGACCCTGTCAAATTGTTTAGCTGTGCTCAATAACTTATCTCTCTAAATTTGCAGGTTATTGTAGGAAATGTGCTATTCAGTTTCAGATTTTTTTTTTTTTTTCCTTTTTAAAGGTCCAATCTTGTAAGGTTCAAATCGTTCCTCGTTGAATGGCTGAGCACCCTAGGTGATTGATTAAAAAAAAAAATCAAATTACATTCTGGTGGAATGAAGAATGATTTTCATTTATGTTGTGCAGATGTTAAAAGTAAGATACATTTGGGACCTAAACAACTTGAACACTTGAGGCATTGTTTCTTTTAGAAGACACCTTAAAGAACAGCGATTCAGCTCTTGACCTGGAGAAGCTTCATCATTTGAAATGCTTTTCTAAGAGCCTTAGGCAAATCATAGCTTAGCATACTTGGTTTTGTTGTTCTATCAGACAAGGATGCTTTGAAGGGGAGCCTTTTGAAAAGGAGGCAGGGTGGGCTGAATTTACTCCTAATGTAGCCTGTGTGGTGTCAGCAGAGCTACATGGCTCACAGTTTTAGCTCACTGAAAAGGCAATCTGAGTGCTGCAATACAGATGCACTTAGCTGCTTATGAATGCATGCAAATATTGATCTTCAGTTTGTTGATTAATAGAACCAGTTAGCCTGCATTGGTTGATCTTTATAATGAAAGTGTTTGGGTTTTTTCTCTACCTGCCCCGCCCGGTGCTGAAGCACTTACACTTTTTTTTGTGTATGTAGCAAATAATAGCAAGTCCTGATTGTGTTCCTTGTCATTTTATGTTAAAAGTCATTGGTGCCTCCAGTGAAATACTGCATCCTATTAATCCATGTATTGACCCTTTCCTCAGTGCTTATTAGGCCATGGCCTTGGCTATTGACCTTCATTACTGATGGGATATCCATTTGGAGTGACAAGTCAAAGGGCTGCCTTTGATTTTTGTTTCTTTTTTTTTTTTTCCATTTCCCCCCCCCCTTAGTTCTCAGATTATTACTTATTTTATTTGTTAAACAGTGGTGTAGATCATGACTCGAGGTGTGTGGGTTAGGAACTTGCTGTGCATCGCTCCCTGTACAGTCAAAAGGAGGAAGAGAATTGGTTCCAGGGAGCATTCAGCTTTGGTTTTGATTTTCTGCTGACTAGGGATTCCCATGCAAGTGCCCACAGTTGGATAGGATGAGTCCAGGCCAGCAGATTAATAGTTCTTGTAAGATAGTTGTTTCATATCTTTTAAATGAGTTTCTGAGGGAGGGGGAAATAAACTCATCTTTCTTTTCTCAGGGCAAATTAAAGTCTTTTTGCCTCTCTATCTACCAGCCAAAAAAAGTGTTATTAATATAAACTCAGAGCTTTTGAGTTATAAAGGTTAGTGTTTTTCCTGTTTTGTGCAGGAAAGATTGGAGGCTGTCCTTATGTCTTGAAAAATTGCCTTGGGAGGATACTGGTTAAACATTTCTCTAGGCCTGTGGAGTTGGGAGGGGAAAGGATTTTAAAAAAAAACCAAACCCACAGAAAACAGCAACTAACCTTTCTCTAGTAATATGCCTATTTATTTAAAAATTTTCTTTTTAATTTAATTTAACGAACGGGTTCTTAGCCTTTTAAATTAGGGACTTTTCTAGGACAATGTATAGATTTACATATTTCCTTGTAGAAAGCCTTGTTATGCCTGAGAGCTTGGAACAGGAGGCTGCTCACACCCTCTGCCTCTGGGAAGTGCAGGCAGTGATGCTGGGCTCTCTTCACCCTGGAAGGATTCTGTTTACTCCTGGAAGGAGGGGATGGTTAGATGTGAGAGTGATCTCATGTAGAGAACTGAGAGAAGCTGGAGTCAGTCTGGCCCCTTATGCCTTTTCTGTGGGTGGTGACAGTTTTGCCAGTGGAAAAAGAAAATGCACCTTTTGGCTGTGGGTGGCATGTTGCACTTTGTGCTCTCTCAAATTCCTACTGTTACATCATAGGCCAGATAAACCAGCGCATAATTTAAGTGTGTTTAATTTGAATGAAATGGGATAGGTTGATTTCTAATAAATTTAATTCTGTTTTTCATGTTCTTAAGTTAGATGTGGGTTACATCCCCTCTTTTCCTCCGTGTCCTAGCATCACAAGCATAGTCTTGTTCCACAGCCACTGAACGCGGGGTAAACCTCACCATCCTTGTGCTTTAAAATGCTTAAAGATGTCCTGAATGGAAGTAAATTTCAGATTTTCCACTGTGCTCAGCTGAGAATGTGGCTGTGTTTCTGAAATAAAGAAGCTGTGGGCTAAGGAGTCGTTGAAATGAAAATGTTGTTAATCTAGAATAAGACTAATCTGTCCCTAAACAGTACTAACCAGAAACACGCACAGATTTTCAAGTCTAATGAAATGTGCAATTAAAGGCATGTTAGAAATGTAAGCAAGGGATGTGGAGTGCTCATATGTTACACAGATTTGTCCACTAACCAACTTCAATTAACTTTTAAACCAGATGTAAAATAGTGAGGAAAAAGGAAGGAAAACCCAAAAAAACCTGCACAGTGCTTCATCAGATCTAGTGATAGTTCTGCTGAGGAAATAAGTGTCTAAATCACCTACCTAGGCTTTTGCAAGCCATAATTCACTTCACAGAATCTAGACTTTAGAGGTTTTGCTCACTTGCAGGTGTTGCAGATTTCAACTGGGCTGTTCAGCACTTTTGAAAATCATGACTTTAGTATTCAAAACTGGGCTTCCCAAATTAGCCTCAAAATTAGAGGCTATGTTTGAGACCTCTTGCTTTTCACTTTTTTTTTTTTTTTTTCTTCTAAACCTTTATTTTGTCATCTCTGAAGAAGGAACTAATGATACAGAGGAAGATTAGTCAGCATGGATTTAGAAGCTTATGTGATACTCTGTTCAAAGGTAGGAGCAGAGGAAAGCCATACCCCCCAGTGGGGAATTTCTTCATTGTTGTTAAGAGTTAGGGCTGGGCCAGCCACTAGGTGAATGACAGATGCTCTCTATTAACCCTGATGTGGCACACAGGATTTAGCAGTGACCTTGGTCTGCACAGGAGCAAGCACCAGCAAGAGCCTTTCTGCACACCCCAGTCCTTGGCAGTGACTGTGCCCATCGAGCGCTGTCACTGCTGGGAGCAGACACTGACTGAAAATCTGCAGTCAGCTTCAGCAAGTGCAGCCAGGTAGAAGAGACTGAGCTGAGAACTAAAATCACTGAAGAGAATTAGTTCTGTTCCATCTCAAACCAGGACAGTTGTTAGGTCTCGTGGAGCACGACACACCTTCAACAACATGCATTGCTGCATCACCTTTGGGTAGTTGTAGTGAAATCTGTCTAAAGTGGAAGATTTGGGGTAGAGTTGATGGGGAGGCATGCATGCCCTTTTTGCTCTTAATTTGGGAATAACTGAATTGTCTTGTGCCTTGTGCATCAGAGAAGCCTTTCCTGGTACCTTTACAGGTGAAAGCTGTCCAGAGGCTGTTACTAGCATCCTTTGTGCTTAGAAGAGCTGAAACTGTTCTATTTGAATGTAAAATATGCATCTGTAAATTTTTTGTTGCCTGGAACAAGATGGAATTTTCTGATACAGCACTGCCTTTTGTTTAATGATGTATGCTTCCTGTTCTATGTCTCTTACAGGTTCTGGTATGAACTTGCTGCACATCTGGGAAAAGGTATGGTCAGCATCCTGCCTTGATGCTTGTGCACCTGGGTTAGAGGAGAAACTAGGATGCCCTGTACCATCCCATTCAGTCCTGGTATGTGCCTGCCTGGAAGAGCTGTAAGCAACAAACAGGGCTTTGTGCTGAGAATTCCACTAACAGCACTTGGTTGGGGTGTGTTTGTGTGTGAGCACAAGCATGGATGCACAGCTCCCCTCAGAGCTATGCTGCTTGATTTAGTGTTTGCAGGTGTGTTGTGAATGTGTGTGCCAGAGCAGGAACAGGCACCTTTGAAAGCTGCTGGCTGGTGCCTGTCAGAGCTTTCATCATTGATCTCCTTGGATTCTTGCATGCCCTGGGCTATGCTGAGAAAAATTTTGGTAGATGCTCCAGTGATAAGAATCTTCGGGGTCCCCTCCCATGCCCACAAGCACCTTGTCACTGCAGAACAGTGCACAATATTTCTGAATGCAGAAACAGAACCCAACATTTGCATTTCTTGACAGAGACCTTGTTTTAAACTGTTTGTAGAGTTAATGAGGTAATCTTTGTGAATAATTTGGGATATTTAAAGCTCCTCTGTTCATGTAGCATAATGGTGAAATCAAATCAAGCTGCTCATCTCTTCGAGAAAATGAATTTAGTCTTACAACCCAGCACAAAAAGAGACATTGCTTTGGCTGGTGCACATTTAAGAGAGTGTGGATACCCATCACCTGATCCCTCTGAATTCAGTGGTGATCTTCTGTAATGGAGAGGAACATATTAAAAAGTCATTATAGATGTCCTTGTATTTTTTACGGGTAGTTTTCCTCTCTGTTTTTTTCTGTGTGTCTATCAAATGTGGCTTAAAAGAATACAGTTCTTGACCCCTAAAATAATAGGGGTCATATTCCAGCATTTGATGTTGTGATGTATATTAATGCTGTGTTTTCCCTTATGTTTGCATAGAATTTCTAATTTCTATGTATTAATATTCATGTATGTGTGCAAAACAGATGGATGTGTTTATGTTACTTGATGTGAATAACTGGAGAAGGACCCAAAGCTAAAATGCTACTATTTACTTAACCTATTTAAAATCTAATCTGAGGGTGTTTCTGCAAGGTTCTCAACAAAAAAAAAATTTGGTTTAAAATCTTTAAAATATTAACTCTGAATATATTAATATTAATTCATACCTTTAAATACACAGAAGTTATTACTGTAGCTGCTCTGGGTTTCTCCAGTTCTATGTTGCAACACACTACGTCATACATTGCAAGATTAATTCCATTTTTGAGCTTTTTTTTCCCCTCTCTTTCTTTCCTTAGGGGACTATTTCTCCATATTATAGCCAGCGTTATGGGTTTAGCCCAGACTGTAAAATAGTGGCATTTACTGGAGACAATCCAGGTGAGATGGTTAAATGTGTTCAATTCAGTGAATATGATTACTTATGTATGCTCCCTATACAGTGAAAAAAATATTGTTTTTCAGCATTAATACATTTTCCTAACAGCTTTCCATCACTGGTTCTTCTGAGATGTAGACATCTTGGATAAGCTGGGTTTGATAAATGAATTCTCTTTTGCCTAGTAATTAGAGGTGACTTGATAACTCTTGATAACTTCAGTTTTGGTTTGTCTGCCCCTATGAAACGATGAACTACTTACTATGAACTACTAACATTTTAGCTTAGGAAATACAAGCTAAAAAGTTGCTGTTGTGTCTTTTCAAGCAAAAAGGTGGAGACGGAACTCACAGGCATTCTCTAAGAGCTGTCCTTTTGTCACACTGATAGATCTCAGTGTAAGGGAAGGTGTTAATTTAGGGTCAGGTTTTTGAATCTTGGAGATGGTTTAATGTAGAGCAAATCTGTCTTTTTCTCAAGGCTGTGAAAATAAAATACTTACCTGTAATCCAGTAGCATATGCAGCTTTGAATCAAGATGGAGGCTTCATCGTGGTATATTTTACATTCATGTTCTGGGAGATGGTTAAACTCCACATTTCCCAAAAGTCCAATTTTTCTTCCAGAGATTCAAACCCATCTTAGTCCAAGAAATATGTGAGTAGTCTAAGTGAGAGCATTTCTCCTTTCAACTGTGTTGTTAAGTAAGGGTTCACTGTATTTAAAACGTGAATACATAAAACATTAGATAGTCATGCAGTTCTGTGGTCTTTTGTCTTGAGAATTTTGGTTTTGTTAAAAATCACTCCCTCACCCAACTGCTTTGCCCAGCTTTTACAGTGTACAGGCCAAGGCCATCATGAGCACGTTTGCCATTTATGTTGTACTTTGAGAAGGTGAATGCCATGGATTATGACATCTCATACATGCTATAGTGGAGTCAAACAAGTAACTTTTTATCTGGCGTTCTGACTTTGTGCTTTCAGCATCGTTGGCAGGGATGAGACTTCAAGAAGGAGATATTGCAGTAAGTCAAAACATGCTCCTGCAAACTATCTGTGTCCCCGAGTAAATGAAATACATGAAATGTAAAGTAGCTGTAGGTTATCAGTTAAATTTATCTGTTAGTGTCAATTTTCTGTTTATTGGATTCACACTTGTTTTATTTGTCAGTCTGTAAACTGCCTAAAAGATTTTAAGTAAACTCTTGTGACTATTTTTAACTAATGCTTCAGACATTAAAACCTAAGACTCCATCTAGTATGTATTTCACTGGAGTGACAACCTAAGTCAGAGCTGGCTTCAACACGAATCCAATTGACTTAATGTGCAATTTAAAAACAATTAGTGATAATAACAAATGGTTTTAATTTAATTTCTGTATTGCTTTCTATGCACATTGTGATAACGCTTCAATTATTTTTTTTTTTCCCCTCCAGATTAGCCTTGGCACAAGTGACACATTGTTTCTGTGGATCCAAGAACCAACTCCTGCCTTAGAAGGTCATATCCTCTGCAATCCTGTTGATTCTCAAGCATACATGGCACTTTTATGGTAATATAATATATTTTTTGTACATCTGGGATCAATAACATACTTTTTTCCTCTATGTTAGCGTTTTTTAATTTCTTTTGCAAAGTCATAATGAATAGAATGTTCAGCATTCTTTATGGTATATGGCAATCTACTGCTGAAACATTTGCATCAACATTATAGCATTCCTATTGTTTAATTTGAGTAACTGAAACTGCAGAGTTGTGGAGGATAAATTCTCATAGCAATAAAAAGCTGAAATTATTTTTATGTATATATAGAGCCAGCTCGCTATGAATCTAAGGTAGTACATTTAATGCACAGGGATAACCATCTTATGAAATATAATAATGTGAAATGTCTCAAGATTGACCAGGCTCTGTAACTTCTGTGTTCTTCTAGTGGTCCAGAGGGGACGTAACGGGGCAGGCAGAGATTCCCTTTCCAGAGAGGAGTACAATCAGTGCTGCTCAGGGACGTATTAGGCTGTGCATGTGGAAAATACTCAGATCTCAGGAAACCCAGCTGAGAGAATGATCCTCATGGCAGCTTTTGGCTGCTGTGATTTGGGAATTGTTTGGCCCCTCACCAGCCAAGCAGGTAGAAAGGTGGCCCTGAAGCTGTATTTTCTCTCACTGAGTCACTGTGTTCAGGGTAAAAACTTCCAAAACTGCCATATGTTTAGGCAAATATTTACAAGTAACACACACAAACACACAAATTTTGTGTCTAGATCTCCTGGTTTGTAGGTTCTTGAGACTCAAAACTTAAGCAAAGCTTAAGCCTGCCTTTTAACTGTAATTAAATTTAATCTTACCTGTGCAGTAACAGGATGCTGTATATGACAGTGGAAACAATTAATGAAGTTGAGTTTAAAAATGTAATGTCAATTGCAAGTTGATGAGTTTCACAGTATAATTTCTCAGTGGGTAGGTTTCTTTCTTTGTTTATTTTCAAGTTTTGAATTCAAATTTCTCTTTTACCCCATGTTTTTCCCAGTTTTGCTGTGTAAAAGAGCTATGTAAACAACCTGTTTGCACCAGGGGAAGAGATACTGAAGCATTTTTCTGAATAACTGTTACACTGCTATTGTTTTACTGCATCTTAACATGTGCAGAAAGCCAAACCTGCCTTTCAGAACACACAATATTTCTGTAGCCATGCAGATATGAAGAGTTCCTTTTCCTCCTGCTTAGCCATTACTGCCCTGACACTGCCCCTTTTGCACCAATGCCCCTTTATTTCTAGAATATTAGAGCTTATATGGGACCCTTTATTAGCAGAAAGAGGATGGCTGAGCTACCAGGCAGAGTATTTGTGCAGAAAACTTGAGTAACATCAGATGCTGATACCAAGCAAGTTGACAAATTTCCTTGCCCTCTTTCTGGATATTTCTGTGCCTTTCCAGCTGAGTTGCTCTGGTAACTCTGTGCTGGAGAGTAGTCAAACTGCTTTCCTCTGGATCCGAGTCCAATGCTGCAGTATTTTGCAGGAATATTATATTTGCAGAGGAGGCAAAGGGGGTGACTGTATAAAGGGTGCAAAGACCATAAACACTGAACAGATGCATATTTTACAGCATGGTTTACTGGCTCTGGACCAGAACCAGGCAGCTGCAGCTGTGATGCTTTCCTTTGCCAGATCCTGGCATGGAGCTAGACCTCATAAGTCTTATTGGACCCAGGATGGCTCCATAGTGGTATCATGTTCCTGAAATCATAAATGCAATGTAGAGACACTCCTGATTTTCCTTGCAGGGTCATCTGAGAGTGAGCTCTTTAGTGCTATGTCAAGATTAGTTCCCTGAGGATATGTCTTAGCTGTTCTGAGCTAGCCTGGGTTTAGTGGGGCCTGCCAGACTGGAGCTAAGCTGACTCACTGGAGAGATGTATACCAACATCTCTGCACTGCTTTCCTCAAAACATCCTGTAATACTTGTTTTTCCTCTGTCCCTTTCCATAATGGAGTGTTTGTATCTTTCAGCTTACACAGATTTATTCAGCTGATACAATAAACACCAATATTGAGTAAAACAACAAATGACTTAAAAAATCTAGAGCCAAATGTTTTGGAAAATGCATATGGTATGTTTGTGTGTTTCAGTTTTAAGAACGGCTCTCTGATGAGAGAGAGGATCAGAGATGACTGTGCTTCAGGCTCCTGGGATGAGTTCTCCAAAGCTTTATCATCTACTGCTGCTGGAAACAATGGGAACTTGGGTACGAGCCGTAGCAGGGCTAGGTGTTCCAAGATTGGCTTAGACATGTACTGGAGTGGGTGTTATACGTGTTATACCTGCTTTTTATTTGATAATGGCCAAAAATAAAGTTAACTAGAGCAAGGGAAATTCTGAATATGTACTTGGAAATGCTCTTCTGGCAAGATGTCATGACAGTATTTTCCTTCAATATTTGTTGAATAAGAAAACTGTTTGTGGAAGTAATTTGGTCATTGAAGATGTTAGTAGCATTTTAAACTAATGTTTAAAAGTATTAGTTTCTGAAGGAGGGTTTCATTGAAGTTTCTTTTTCAAAAAACTCAAACTGAGTGAATTAAGAAGCTCCATATTATTTTTTTTCTCAGACATTATTCCAGAATCTTGTTTGTACATGTGAACAAAGCAGTAATGTCAAGTGAGGCACAGATTTCCTGCATTTCCCCCAATGTATGTCACAGTCACTTTATCCCTGTTTTTTCCCCACATTATGGTAAATGAATGAAATGGAACAAAATTATGATGGTGGAAATATTTTTAAAGTGTACATAAACTCATGTATTTGAAGTTTTACTTTATTTTCATTCCTACGGCTTAACATTTTACAAGAGCAGTATATAGCTCTGAACTAAGTTATTGAAAAGTGAGCCTGTGTGTAATCAGGATTAAAATGTAACCACTGCAGAGCTGGATTTGAAATCATCACCATCATCCTAGATCTGAACTGATATGAGTAAAAAGAAATTTAAAAATGTAGGTAGCAAAGCTTTTAAAAGTAGGTATTTAAGCTATAGGAGACTTAGTTCCTTAGGAATGTGAATTTAAGATGCAGTTTCTTGACACTGTGGGATTAGCACTGATTTTTCATTTGTAGATGTTTTTCATGTTGTGTTGTCTGTCAACTCTGGTCTCTCTGCTGGATTAAAATGACCAGGAATCTCTGGTCACTAGAAGACAAATCAACTCGGGAGTTTCAGAAAATGGGAAGAAATTAGTCCAAAACCCAGAGGTCAGCCACTTTAGACAGCATTAAAAATGGAAGCTGATGAAAATATTGTTACTGATTTCAGGGATACTGGGACACTGCCTAAAAGTTTTAAAATTTATATTATGGTACATTCACTTGGCTATCTCAATCCCTTATAAAATGGGTGTTTCGTTGAAGTCATCCTCAGTAACCTGTATGCTTGGATAACCTCCGGGCATACATGTAAAAATACAATAATCTCCATAATCTGAGTTCCTCAGGGAAGCAGAGCAACGAAGTAACTGATTTCATGCTCTTCCTTTTACTGCTTGTTCCCTGCACTCCCTGCTACATCAGGAGATGCCCCTGCAGAGGTTTGGAGTTGGGCAAAGGCAGCTGCTAGCGTGGGGTTGGGGTAATGGGAGTAGCAGGGGTGTAGCAAATGGGGGAGGAGGAGGAGAGGTGACTGGATGAGGGTCCTGTTTCACCTGGGAGGTGCCTGAGAAGGTTGATAAAGCCAGCAAGTTACCTGAAGCACTCATCTGCCAGATTGAAGGTGGCAACAGAGTCAGAGAGGAAATTTTGGGATATACATCCCCTGGCAAGGCCTGCAGATCTGTAACCCACAGTGTTGCTTTCTGGCAGATATCCAGAACGTTTAACCAAAAGGGTTGTGCTAAAGCATGGTACTATTGGGGGATTATTTGGCTAATAATCACGGTGTTCTTAGGGCAGGATACTCCTGTTCCAAGGTCTCAACCTTAGAAACTCTCCTTAGTTTCATAGCCATTCTTTCATTTTCTATCCTCATTATCTTTTTTTGTCTCCTTTCTTGAATATCTTTTCTGACCAACCCTTCTTGCAAACACCAAAGAAATCTTTTTCACACTTCTTGTCTAGCTGTCTGAGGCACTACTGCACTTCTTCAGATCTCATCAAAACTATTCAGAGACCAGCTCTGCTTCGTGACTTAAAATACCTGACCTTCTCTAATAAGCTCATGAAATCTAATCCAGTGCCCCAATTGCTCCAGCATTCCTGTACTACTCTTACTAACTTACCATTTTTTTCTGGATTGTTTTTTTCTTTCACCCTTGCATATGTTCTACTGAAACTATTTCTAAGATTTGTTACATATTGTCTGTTACTTGCATGTGTGTGTGTTCTGGTGGATGTGTGATTTTTTTTGTAGGCTTATTATATTGATTTGATGCCTAGACCTAGACATGCCTAGAATGCACATTTTTGTAAACTGAAAGTAGTTGAATTTGATAACTAATTTCAGTCCACACATTTAAGAAATGGGCTGTGTAGTGACCAGGATGTCTTCCCAAATACATGGTAAACATTTATTATCGTTTTAGCTGTGTGCTGAAATAAGATTCCAACTTTGGACTAGGAGCAAATATGACATTCTGTAATGCTCCTTGGTGCAGGTTTCTACTTTGATGTGATGGAAATTACTCCTGAAGCAGTAGGAATTCACAGATTCAACAGAGACAACCAGAAGGTAATAATAATGTAGTTAATGTCTCAAGCCTTGAAAGAGTATTGTCAAGGCTTGAAATCTTTGCCATTATCCTTTTTTTTTTTTTTTTTTTTTTTTTCTCTGAGATACTTGCTTTCAAGTTTCATTTATTGGTGCAAGTCCCTGAGATGATTCCATAAGAAAATATTTGGTCTGTAGTTGGAAAGTATCTACAGTGCAAAGTCTGAACTGGAACTTATATGGTATTTTTTTTAAGAAATATTTCCTTTACTGGAAGATGTGGATTTACTGAAACCGACACTGTTTCTGAAACAGGATTAACTTTAAGCTGATTGAGAGTTTAATACACTTACATGCCTTAGTCCCCATCTTCTAAGTTTCAGACACACAGATAAGAATGCGTTGAAACTTCGGGCTATAATATTTATTTTCTATAATATGTCTTTTATCTTGCTCTAAATGTGTATGTAAAGTACAGAGCTCGTTTTACTGTCCTGCATGCTTTGGAGTAACCTCCAAGCTACATGGTGATACATAGTAAGGAAACGCAGGCTCAAATCCAATTGGAATTAAAATAGAAATTATGGTATGGAAAGGAAAGTTCCTTGTATCTTTTTTTGCTCTTTTCTGTTGAGGAATGGATGTTGTTTAAATGTCTGGCTTTCTGGGTGGTACTGAAACTCAAGGGGTGTCTTCGATCATTCCTGACTCCCAGTCGATTAGACCTCACCTAGGTGAACTGAGATTGATACTATCTTGTGTTTGCAGTGTAGCACTAGTCTGTTAAATGTTTGCTGTTTAAATGAATGCTTAATCACTTCTAGCTGTTATACAAGTTGTAGGCACTTATTGTAGTGCGTGTAGAAACTCAGCTTTTTGTGAAAGATTCTTTGTATTTGTTTGTAGTTCAATATTTTCCTACTTCTTTTGCCTTTCTTGTGTTCTGGTTGACTAAAGGACAGAAGAATGTTATATATAGAAAGAAAAATTAGTGAAAAGATTACATGGTTTCACTTTTGTGCAGACAGATTTAAACATTGATGACATTGCTTAATGCATCTGACTTTTATCTGCTTGTTTTAATTTTATATTTTTGAAGTACTGATTCGTACACAGCTTTTGGTGCTGGGGAATGCATAGAGAATTGATGACAACTTGCAGTAAGACTGGTGCCTGTCATGCATTGATTTGAAGTTTGATGGATTTCTCAACAGCACTGAGGTTATGGGTTGTATTCTCTCTCATGAGTCTTTAGGTCCATCGTATGTGTATGAGTGAAGAACCAGTCCCAGCTTCAAGGATGATCAACTATAAATCTGTCTTGTGTTTTTAACCAGTCTCCAGCTTAGCAGTGTGCACTGTGTAAGGTGCTTGTTAACTCAGTGCATTCCCTCTTTGATACAGGTTTCAGACTTTCCAAAGGAGGTTGAAATAAGAGCGTTAATTGAAGGGCAGTTTATGGCCAAGAGGATTCATGCTGAAAAGCTGGGATATAAAGTCAGTAAGTATGATGAAGAGCTGCAGAATTGATGACACTAGAGATCAAACACAAAGATGGGAGTCCCAACAGTAATGTCAGGATTGTGATTCTTGTCCTGCCTGTTGAATACAGAAACTGGTATGAATTCACATTAGCCCTGTGGAAAAAATATTTGAAAATGCATTTGGGGAAGGTTTTTGCAGATGTTAACTTTAGAATGACCAATGGTTTAACTTTAAGATGATATCTTTTTCAAGTAGTGTTGCTGTTTTATGGTTACTGACCTGCATTGTCGATTTTTAAATAAGCATTGGGGCTTCAAACACTGGTTAAGTGCAAAGCAGGCCAGCCTTCTGCCTAAAGCACTAGACCAGAACCCAGAAAACCTGGTCTGTGTTCAGCTCCTGGAGCTGCCATGAAATGATCACTTACCTTTTGACCTCAGTTTTCTGTTAATAAAGCTGCAAACCTTTAATAAAGCAGCAAGAGATCCTGCTTCCTAGAATTTATAAAGTGTATAATTTTTAGCACACTGGAACAACAAAGTCAGTTAGTATTTTACCTATAGAAGTGGTATCAGATAATTACTGGCTGTGCAATTCTGCATAAAGAATATAGACAAGTTGATGTTTATTGGCATTTTCTGTCAGTGTATCAGCCAGTGGCATCTTAAAAAATACTGAATTAACTCATATTGAGGAATTTTAGCCAGTGCTTTATCTTTAAAAATTATAGTATTTTTATTTACATCTTGACTCTTCTTTACAAGTGAAGTCCTGACCCCCTCCTTTACAAGCCATTTCCTGACTCCTACCTCCAGGCTTTTATCCATAATCATGAAGAATAGATTTTTTTATGTTTGAGAGAACTCCAGGAGCTGAAAGTTGAGAAAATATAGAGATACTGGAACAAATCAGAAGGCTTGGCAATTCCACCTCATAAATTTTTGTGGTAAAGGTTTTCCTGTTACATATTTTCTTATATTCTTGAAACTATATTTATTTGGGCAGGTTATTTATGGAGACAGGCAGAGATTCAGACAGATCGTGTCTAAAATACCTGTTTATCCTTCATTCTTAGACTCTGCTGCACCAAAAGCTTGGCTTACATAGCCTAGAAAGCTCGTGGCTGAAGAGGATGCTTTTGCACTCTGTAAATGTCAGGGGTTAGACAAACACCAGAGTGTGAGAAGAACTATTTAAGATATTGGACAACTCTGACACAGAAAGAAATGGGTAGAAATGATCTGTAAATACATTTAGGCTAAGTAGGACAGCTAAAAACCTAACTAGTTTTAAGATGCGGCTTCATAAGCTTTAAAAATGCCTTTTTTTTTTAATTAGTGCTGTAGGTGTTTACAACAAAGAGGAGATAGGTGTGCTTGCATTACATTCCTGTAGATTCCTCGGAACCTTATAGGCTTTTGTTTTGTTGCATCCCAAGGGTCTTTCAGCTATTTGGTAACTAACAGACGAGTTGCTTTAAAAAAGAACTGCTGTACGTAGTGTGGGCTGTGTGCATCTCCCACTTTTCCTTAGTGGTATTATTTAAATGTCATATTCTGTTATTTGTGTAGTGATGGCAGGCTTGCATCTGCATTTGTTGTGTGACAGCTCTGACAACAGGGTGTGTTCTGAACGTGTTTCAGGGTACGGATGAGCATTGTGGGAATTACTCTGGTATTGCCAGACTTTCTCTTGTTTAATAGTTGCTGGTTTTCAGGCTGCTTTTTTGTTTTTAATGTGATTTAAAAGCTTATTTATCTTTTGGATGAAATATACAGTCAGGACCCTTGTGTTTATTCAACTCCTTTTAGGCCTTGTCTACATGGGGAATTTACTTTGTTTTTTTCCAGGAATTAAGCTGATTTACATTCAGAAATACGATCACAGCAGTGTAAATCTTGGCTTTTTTTTTTTGTTATTGTTGTTTATCCCAGTGGGAGAACATAGTAATAACTGCTCACAAGACCTGGAAAGTTATATGATGGCACCCATTAAATTGATCTGTAACAGAAATAGAAGTGACATGGTCAGTCACAACAAATGCTTTGCCTCACAATCTCGGTGTCCTGAGGTTTGTGTTGTGCCATCTTAGTGGTGCAGATGAGTCAGAAACCTGGCTGAGAATTTCCCTTGCTCTGGCACCAAGGTGCTGGAAAATCATTTTGGCAGTCATGAACCTGCCTCTTTGTTCCTGGGCCAAATGCAGTTTGGATGGCTGTAATCTGAAAAGCAGCAGCGTACGTGGAAAAGACTTTTGTAAAAATAAATAAATAAAACTCTGTCATACCCAGTTCTTGGTTATGCACCGTGAACATGACAAACATTTGATAATCCCCTAGAATTTACTTTCAGTTAATGAATATATTATCTTGCTCAGAGCAGTATTTTGAATCCTCAGTCTAGCTAGCGCTGCAGGAATAAGTGCAGCGATGCTGAAAGAGTATTTTATCATGTGAGGTTTTGTTCCCAGTTTGATGCATCCGGTACATCATAGATCTTACATAAATTACAAATAACAATTTTAAAAAAAACCCTTAAAACAGCTCTTCGGTGGTGGTTGTGCTTCCCTGCAGGCGTGTGCCCGGGTGTCAGTGTGGCTCAGATACCAGTAGAGGGCAGGGGATTCTGTCTCATGATCTTTTTTCCTTCAAGGCTGGGCTCTGTGTGTCAGCCTTGTTTTGAAAATGGCACAGTCACCAGACAATCCTTGGGAGAAAAGTTAAACCTTACATTAATCGTGATTTAAAGGTTTTAAAAGTGTGTGTCACTCTGTTCTAATTGCTCTAATCTTTCTCAATCAGATTTCAGGGGAAATCATTCAGTAACACCCTGTATCCTGTTTTGCTTATGTGCTTAAGGGGTGGATAGAGAGTTGTGATCTAGAAACAAACAAGTGAAGTTGGGTCTGTCCCTGTTGTTTACATCCTCCGATTCAGAGATTCATGCAGATAAGGTGAAGGTTTGCTGTTCTGCCTCTATTTTCCTGAATTTTGATTGTATCGTAAACACCTTCTGTTTTGTCGGTTCCTTTTTCTGCTTGCAGCCACCCCGTTTTGAAAGCCAAACTCACAACTGGAGTTCAGAGGTTGGTCATACAGACATGCTTGCTGTGTGATTTGGGGACTCTCTGAAGCTAAAACCATGGCAACTTTATAGAGAACTGACAGTGTCTGCAGCTCAGTGACACAGCAGCTATAAAACTGTCAGTGGTGCAGACTAAGCTGCCAGTATATAGTTTAATAATCTTGATGATCACTTCAGAGTTGCTTCCATTCCTGACAAAGCAATCCTAAATTTCATACTAAAATTAACACTGACTGGAGAACATTGCAGTGGTCCTTGCTTGGACCTAGTGAAGCTGTCCTGGTGAATACCCACAAAATTGGTTATTCTTGGGAGCAAAATCTAGCCCTCTGCCCACTGATGGGTGGAGTAAATATTGTTGTGGTGTATGTTATGTATGCTGGAAGGAAGACAGCACACAAGTAGGGCTTCTGGTGGTGGTCACATGTGGTCAATAGATAATGAAAAGACGTACTGGTCTACAGTGTAGAAACCTGCATGTCAATGATCATCTGAGCACTAGGTCTGTACATACTCGGTCAGATGTGTGCTAGAATTTAGTTAAATAACCTTTTTGTGGGACTGCAGCAGTACTTAACAAGTCCTGCCTTGTAGGTAGGCTGGTTATCTGGGGTGGGGTCTCTGTCAAAGCTGTTAGCTTTGGACAGGGCTTTCTGCCTTCATATTGTTGTGTCTTACCAGTGAGTTCAGAGTACTCCAGTTGCCCAATGTGCTGCTCGTGTCACGTTTATTCCTTTAGGAATCTGATTCTGCCACCTAACTGTCATCAGCAGGGGGAGATGGATAGAAGGTGCCACGTTTTACAAGTGCAAGCTTTGTCCATAAAATCTTGTGTCTGTGTTTATTATGTAATTTATAGTTTCTTGCATGCATAAATCCATCACTTGCAAATAATGTTGGTGCCCTGAATTCTACTGACTGTACTTAGTGCTTGAGTACTGGCTCGGGTGACACAGACACGACCCTGGCTTTGCACTGGTACAAGAATGAGCCAATTTTTTTCATTAAGTGCTACATGTTTCTGGCATTTCAGATGTGTGCAAGTACATCTTTCTGATTGGATATGCAACAGGATGCGTTCTTAAACAAAACAGCAGTCCTGCAGTGCTAGGAGAAAAAGGACAATGTCACAGCATGCTGGGCCTGACTTCTCAGTGGTTGGAGGGGGAATTTAAATTTTCTGAAGAGCTCAGTCTAAGATTACCTGAGGGCAAACTCCAAGGTGCCAAATTTCCTTTTCCTTCAAGTGGTGTTTTCTTCTGATGCTCTTTTCTGCAGGTTGAAGGTAGTAATAAAACTCTGTCCACAGGGAAGGCAGTCTGATAGAGTGAAAGGACCTCAGAAAATATTAATTTTTATAAGTGGAGTGGTTGTGTTAGATCAGTCATGTTGCCATGTGGAGGCACAGAGACCTGAGAGTGAGGCATGAGACTGTAACTTCACAGCAAAGTGTTGGACCATTGGAGGAGGAGGTGGCTCTCCAGTTTTGCAAGGCTAGATGCCACTGGTCCTCGGGGTGCTCTGGGGATGGCTTTGTGTTAGGCTATGAGACAGGTTTTTCTGCTGGTGCTTGTCTGTGACTGGCTTCTGTGATTGTAGTCTCCAAAACTCTTGCAAATGACCAGGAGCACTGGGATGCATGTTCTCTCTGTCACCTTTGCCTCACTGCTGTGCTTCTACTCCAGTTATAGCAGTGTTCTGGCTGAAATGAGGAACACTGTGAGCGAGGCCATTTTGTAGTTGCATACAGATTAAATTGATGTTTATGCCCTGTGGGATTTAAATTTCTTAGAGAAATCAATACTAAAATGTTGTGTTGGCTTCGTGCTTGTCTCTTGCTGTTTGCTGCTAAGAGTGCTGATGGTGTTTCAGCAGCATGAGGGTGATGGCTTTGTTAGGGGCCTTTGGCTTCAGCAAGTGAGCAAAAACAGT